TTAAAATAAACGAAGACTTGTTTTAATTTGTCGCTATCAACCGTTACCAAGGTGGTCAACCCGTGACCACCAATATGATAAACGCTCCATTGGGTAAGAATGTTGTCTTATATCATCAATTTATTATTATTTTGCCATTATATGCTTTCAATAATAAAAATACTCCCGTGGCGTCCTGAGCGAAACATGTGATTTCGGCGTGGCAGTCAAAGTTAAAACGTCGATCCACGAGTGTTTCGGCTAACGATCATTATATCATATATAGTAATTAACAGTGTCGTTGAATGAAACGCATTCGAGGTGTATTCAGGCGAGATCATGTGATTTCGGCGTGGCAGTCAAAGTTAAAACGTCGATCCACGAGTGTTTCGGCTAACGATCATCATATCATATATAGTAATTAACAGTGTCGTTGAATGAAACGCATTCGAGGTGTATTCAGGCGAGAAAATCTGCTTGAAATAATCGGCGATCGTCTACGGTGATTAATAACTGCTCACCGGTAGGATCGAATAGAACGAATCGATAGAACGAATCCGGTGAAAGCCAGACAAATTGACAATACACCGTTCCTACGTACATTACAGATCCTCGTGCCCATCTATCACCGATATGTATATACATTTTTTCTTCTTCTTTTTTTTTTTCGCCATAAGGAACCTGTGGTCACTCTTATCCAAGGCAAACCCGCGTGCTCGTGAGCAAATATTAGCACGCCTGTTGCTGGAACGCTTATCAAACATTTACATTCGAGATTCGATATGGAGTACATTAGGAAGTTTTTAGACACGACGATAGAATTCGATGGTTTTCGTGTCTTCTCCGCTCAAATAGGTTCGCCGCATGAAGATTTCTAAGATTAGGTTCCATTTATTTATCGAGAATTAGGACAAAGTGACGGAGAAGTCTCTTCGAATTCCAAACTGGTTAAATATTATTCCTCATCGATCGCTTTCTTATTTCCGGAGGAGAAAGCAACCCCTTCAGGTCCAAGTTCTATTAATCAAAACATTAAAGAGGGCAGAAAAATATGTGGTTTCTTTTCTTGCACGATCGACTCTTGCTATATTTCTTCTTTTTTTTTCCTTTCTTCTGCAAATAAGTATCGGTGAAGTGTTATATTTATCGTGTCGGAGTGTCAGTTTTCTAAAACACTTTAAGGGATCAATTTCTGACGAGAAATCCAAATGTCGCCTGATAGACATACACTACCGGCCAAAAGTTTGGAATCACCGAGCATTGCAATTTGCACAAAAATTTCCAGAAAACAGTCAGCGACTTTGAGAATTTTTTATCGTTCGAATCAATTGATATGAGATAAATTGACAAATGTAGAATTGAGATAAACTTCGAATCTATAAAAAATTAGCAGCAGATTTAATATTGATGAAAAGTGGGAGGTGATTCCACACTTTTGATCGGTAGTGTATGTGGTATCTTAAACCTTGAAATGAAACAGTGTCTTCGTTGATGTTTGTGCACTTAAAATATGTCGGAGCACAAGAGTAAAATGTGTGAAATATGAACATATGCAAAAAATACACGGGATGTGTAATGAGTATCAGGTTGTTGCAAATGTAACGACCAAGGTATCAGTGAAACTTTCCACGTCTGTAGTTTTAGTAAAATCGATACGATCCACTGGTTTCAGTGCTCTTTGACCATCGGAAAACAAGGTTATTTATGCCTTTGTTAAAAGAAAACTCTTCATTTCTAGGTGTAAGGTGGTCTTTGAAAACGTTCTTTACTTCAGTTTCGGTGTTAAATTTTGGCTGTAAAAAATGGTCAGTGGAATTTGTTCTTGATTCGTGATTTAATAAATGCCATTTAACAGTGAAACAATTGACGAATCACCACGATCGATGGTTCGTCAATTATATCATTATTAAATTGGCAGACGATTTTGGTTAACTTTAAGCTTTACTTTGGTTTGATTCTGGTTAACCTCGAGATTTAAATTGATGTATAATAAGTGTTATCTGGAAGCAAATTTGAGAACGCAATTTTGGAAACCATACGCCATGATAGTATATTGAAAATGTGCCATAATAATCGAACCTTTATTATTTAGACATTACGATTATAATTTAAATGATATTAAACTATGAGCATTTTCTCAACATTTCTTACACTGTTAGCAAGTTTGTTCGAAACTCCACTAAATAAATGAAAAATAGAAAATATGAAATATGCAAAATAAGTAGTACATGGTTAAAACCCACTAAAGAGAAGAAAAATGCTTTTGCATTAGCTGCACTCTAATCGTCATCAACACTTTTGATTAAAGAATCGATCACTTTTGAAGACTTTTGACCAGTTAGTTTTGCGCTCAGCGAACCGCAAAATAAAACTAAACCAAAGTTTTATCGTTTCTTTGGTAGATCGCAATTAATTAAGAAAAAAAAAAAAGGAAAAGAAGCACAATGTCAACAGCACGTAAATCAGGTTTGGTAAATTCCTACGGGGTCCCACTTTCAGCCACTACATTTTCATGCTCTTTGGCAATGTTTCCTCGAACCACGGCCTCGAGAGGCCCCGTAAAAGGAGTTGCCTAACGCGGCAACGGGACGTTTCCAACAAGGTAACCCCGCAGTGGTCTACAAATCACAAATAAATAGCTTCTTGTTGTACTCTAACGTTTAACGGAGCTTTCAACAAACATAGGAGCGTATTTAAGCCCTCCTCTATAGCCTGTTAAACCCATACAGTCGATTCTTACGAGAATGTATATGTACACGCTATTCAGTGAGTCCAGAGAGAGGAACAGCTATCTTTGAGTAGATACGATCTCTCGACGCCAACGGGAGATCCTTCAGTTTACATCTGAAGAGGAAGTACAGTGTCTTGGTGGATGATGTACGTTTTCGTTGAATCACGGAGAAAACCATGAAATGTCTATGTTGGACAGTGGACCCGGCTGTAACCGTCTAGTCATGTTAATTACGATCTTAATTGCGCCTGGAGATTCGTTAGATTTGTCAGCGTCCTAGAATCTTATCTGGGGTAATTGTGATACACTGTAACTGGCTCGAAAGTCGCCTCTTGATAGTTCTGTAGAGATGATCCGAGGGAACAGATGGGATCTTCGATTAGAAACGAGAGACTGTATGATAAATTTGAAGGGAAGTTTGTTGACGGGCAGGGTCGATAGTTTTTTTTTTGTTTCCATCTTTAATCACTTGCATTTACGACTTTGTTGCTGTATATCCTTTTTTTTTTTTATTTTTTACACGAACGAAATATACATCTTCAGAAAGCGTACGAGACACATATTTTACAAATAGAAAAATCGAAGCGCGCGGAGATTTCGTTTGTTACAGGCTAAAGTAGTACAAAACTCGCTGTTAAACTTACCCCTCGAGAATCTATTAACATTTTTTTCATAAATATATTATCGCCTAAACTACTCGTTATTCGAAAAAATGTTCCAAGCAAAACTTACCCTGCTTCGAGGACATTTTTTGTAGGTTAGGTTAGGTTTCAATCTCAAGGAGACCTTTACTTTTTTAAATGGAGTACTATCTTATTTAAATACAAATTCCTACGTAGCAAAAGTCAATGAACTTGTTTCGAATTCGGCTGTACGCCTAACTAAAAAAAAGAGATAATGTTCCATTTAAAAAAGCAAATATAACCTTGAAATTTCAGGGACACCTGTACTTAAAAAAAAAAAACTGTGCCTACCGTGAGATGTCCCCCTTCAAACAGAATAAATTTTGCTTGAAATATTTGTTTTCTCTTTTAACGACGAATAGTTCGGTATAATAATCACGTGGAGAGATTATGATGGATCACCCTGTATATCATACATCGTGTTCTAAAGAATTATACACGTCACACATTTCCTCAACATTTCACCGCTCGTTCCTATATAAAAATTTTTCTTCTCCATCGTGTACAAACATCTATCATAAAGCTCGTTAGAATTTTTCTTCCTATAGTCGTGTACAAATCGTCCATCGTGAAGCTCACAGCGACAACGAGTAACCGTAGGGAAACACGCGCTTCTATAATACATACACGGATCCGTTCGAATCGTATTCGAATCAAAGATGATTCACACCGAGTGTAAAGGCGAAGAAAAAAAAAAGAGGAGGTAAAAAATGGCGGAGTGAGTGACGTAACGATTTACGGGCTGAATCGATACGTCCTACCGTAAAACAACAATTTCCAGGAAAAGGCGGCCGTTCATACTGTTATGGTAGCTCGGATTACCAACTGACAGGAGCTACTTTCAAACGAATCCAATACTTTCTACCGTTCGATTACGATTTGCTGGCACACCGCAGTTCGATCGATCAATTTATCCATCGATACTAAAACCTAACCGGCATTATCCTCGCCATCCACTTATCTCGAGCGCCGACAAAAACCGTCCCGGCACAAAGTAACCATTTTATTCGTTGTAAAAACCAGCAGCATGCGTTCGACGACTGTCAATCGTGTGAAACGTGTAAATTTCACGTTATCGGCCTTATTCATCGTTGTTACGTGTTACTTCGTTACATCATTCACCGTATTGCTCTTCCTTTGTCGCACGAATTCACTTCCTCCAGAGGCTGCAGGGAAGAGTATCGTTTTATTCGTTGATCCAGTCGTGACAGAGATAGTCATGTGAGTAGAATTGATATACCTGGACGATCTGATAGCGTTTTAACACGTTCATGGTTAACCTTTAATTAGGCTCGCTGGGTGTTCTTTAGCATCGCAGTTGTGTCGTTTGTAGGATATTTTCTCTATAGCTGGTGTTGGGCGTTTGAATCTCAATTTCGAAGTGATTCGAAGTTTTTCGGTATCGTGAAAATTCGAATCCCTGAAACTCTTGACAAATCTTGAATCTTGAGTTTCGATCGGTTTTGAGTCTTTAACTTGAGGTTTCCACGTGGTCTCTCAAATTAAGGTTCATAATTATGTCTATGAGTACTAAATGAGTCGCACAACTTAGTGAACTAATTCAGGCACAATTCACCCTCAGAACCGCGAACGTGTTAATGTTATTGCTACGTCCCTGTACCTTCTATCACGCCGCTTTTGGAAATTGGAGTTAGGATGCTTAATTCTTGGTCAGAGTTAGGCGGAGTCAGAGTGTCTGCTGGTGTCCTGGAGATTACCCTGGTCTGTGGAATTTTCGACGAATCTATCACTGTAACCTCCAATTGTGAATTCTTCATTTCTATTGGATTGTTAATGGTACACTTCTTATAGTGAGTCCTCATGTTACTGCTCTGTGAAAATCTTAGTCCACAGTTCGGACAGGAATAAGGTTTAGTTCCGGTGTGATAATTCAGATGTGTTTTTAGATGATGTTTCTTAGTGAATGCCTTGGAGCACAGAGTACATTGATAAGGTTTCAATCCAGAGTGTAGTCTTGTATGGAGAGTCATGTTTGATCTATCAGCGAATGCCTTCTGGCAAACCTGGCACTGATAAGGTCTTTCTCCTGAATGAGTTCTGAGATGTTGTTTCAGTAGCATCTTCCTGGAAAAAGCCTTTCCGCACTGTTCACACTGATGTGGTTTCACTCCTGTGTGTATTCTAACGTGCATGTTGTAGGCGACTCGTTGATTGAAGCTCTTGCCGCATTCCGCACACCCGTACTCCTTCCGGTTACGGTGGATCTTCATGTGGGAGCTCAGGTAGCCGCGGTCGTTGAAGTACTTGCCGCATTCTGGACAGGTGGCCGCGAACTCCCTGGTCCCCTCGTGGACGCTACGGTGGTATTTGTAGTTGCGCAATTGGGAGAACTGCTTGCCGCAGTCGGCGCAACGGAAAGGCTTCTCCCCTGAGTGAGTCCTGATGTGCACCTAAATGGTATTGGATGATGAGTACATCTTTAATGAGTGGTTGTTACGTGGGAGTAGGGATTTAGAAATTATTGAATTTTAAGATTTTCAAGCTCTGAGATTTTGATATTTTGAAAATTTAAAGATTTAAACTTTTGAAAATTTGAAAATTTAAAGATTCAAACTTAAAA